CTAACACTTCAGGTTTGATTCATTTCTTATCATAGCCCATTCTTTTTTTTTTTTTGAGATGGAGTCTCACTCTGTCACCCAGGCTGGAGTGCAATGGTGTGATCTCAGCTCACTGCAACCTCCGCCTCCTGGGTTCGAGCAATTCTCCTGCCTCAGCTTTCCGAGTAGCTGGGATTACAGGTGTGCACCACCATTCTGGGCTAATTTTTTTTTTTTTCTATTTTTAGTAGAGATGGGGTTTCACTGTGTTAGCCAGGATGGATATCATAGCCCATTCTATATTGATCAATGTAGCTACCAATTGCTGTTGAATTTTATATTTTACCATTTCAGTCACCAGAGAGGTATTCAAAAACAAACATCCCTATAAATGAATTAATTGGAGCAGCTTAAATTTGGTGCCAACCTCTTAGCCAACCAGCTGGCCTTGGGAGCAGAATCATAGGTGAGTGTGGCAGCCCCTACAAGGACTGCATGGGTGAAGTTTGGGGAAGGGGGATGATTTGCAGTTTCCAGAAGGAAGCCTGGAGGGGTGGTGGGGGGCTGTGGAGGGGAGAGAGAGCAAAGGGAGATGACAGACAATAATGTGCCCTGCTGATCACAAACACTTCAGTGTCACGCTCTCAGCATAGTATTTTAAATGGAATCCTGAGTCAGGATTCCTGACAAATTCATTAGAACAGACTGGAAACAGAGGGAGTAGGGCAATGAGGAAGAGGCCTTAAGAAGCCTTAAAGAACCTTGACCTAAGAGGTAGAATTGGAGGAATTGGGGCTATTTAATCTTGAAAATAGAAGCCTTGGCAGGAACACAGTGATGCTCTTCATGGCTGTGAAAGACCATCCCATGAGAGGAATACTGTGACACTCCAAATGGCCAAACTAGGCGTGGAAGGTGTCACGACAGAAAAGTCAGACTGTAGCCCAACTTCAGGAGGAGCGTCTGTCCATAATAGCCAACCAGGAAGGGCCCAGACTCTTTTAGGAGGGGAGAAGCTGGCATCATGAGGACATACCAGCCAATTCTGTTCAGAATGCTGAAGACGGGATTCCTGCATTTTGGACTGCTTCTTCTATCTGCACATTCCTCTCCAATACTAAGAGTCTGAAAATTAACTTAAATTGTTCATTCGGTCTGGCCAAGAGGATCCAGGAGGTGCTAACTACAGCCCAGGCCGAATGAGTTCTACTGTAAAGGAGGATACAGGCTGCACTGGATAAGTGCCACTTGTCCAGAAGCCAGCCTCTGCCCTCTCAGAGCCCAGAAGCTTTAAAAGAGGGTTGTGGTAGGCACTCGGGAGGGCCTGGGAAAGATGCTCTTTCATGGCACTCTTGTCACTGATCCTTGAACCCAAGGCTAGAAGGCAGGGCATGGGGAAGTGGGGCAGCAAGGAGGAGGGAGTCTCCTGACAATGGTCCCCTGTACATTGTAGGCTAACAGGCAGGGACAAACATACACTCAGAAACAATGCAGAGGCTCAGATAGTGCTACGTGGTATAGTATCAAGGCCTTCTCCCCTCACTTTCCAGTTGAGGCCTAATATGGTTTGGCTGTGTGTTCCTGCCCAAATCTCATCTTGTAGCTCCCATAATTCCCATGTGTTGTGGGAGGAACCCAGTGGGAGATGATTGAATCATGGGGGCGGGTCTTTCTCATGCTGTTCTCATGATAGTGAATGGGTCTCACGAGATCTGATGGTTTTAAAAAATGGGAGTTTTGGCCTAGCGCAGTGGCTCAAGCCTGTAATTCCAGCACTTTGGGAGGCAGGCAGATCACCTGAGTTCAGGAGTTCATGACCAGCCTGACCAATATGGAGAAACCCCATGTGGAGGCGCATGCCTGTAATCCCAGCTACTTGGGAGGCTGAGGCAGGAGAATTGCTTGAACCCAGGAGGTGGAGGTTGCGGTGAGCCAAGATTGTGTCATTGCCCTCCAGCCTGGGCAACAAGAGCAAAACTCTGTCACAGACAAACAAACAACAAAACAAACAAACAAACAAACGGGAGTTGCTCTGCAAAATACCTTTTTTGCCTGCTGCCATCTAGATGTGACTTGCTTCTCCTTGCCTTCCACCATGATTATGAGGCATTCCCAGTCATATGGAACTGTAAGTCATTAAACCTCTTTCTTTTGTAAATTGCCCAGTCTCAGGTATGTCTTTATCAGCAGCATGAAAATGGACTAATGCAGTAAATTGGTACCAGTAGAGTGGGGCACTGCTGAAAAGATCCCCAAAACTGTGGAAGCAACTTTGGAACTAGGTAACAGGCAGAGGCTGGAACAGTTTGGAGGGCTCAGAAGAAGACAGGAAAATGTGGGAAAGTTTGGAACTTCCTAGAGACTTGTTGAATGGCTTTGCCTAAAATGATGATAGCAATATGGACAATAAAGTCAGGCTGAGGTGATCTCAAAGGGAAATGAGGAACTTGTAGGGAATTGGAACAAACGTGACTCTTCTTAGGTCTTAGCAAAGAGAATGGTGGCATTTTGCCTCTGCCCTAGAGATTTGTGGAACTTTGAACCTGAGAGAGTTGATTTAGGATATCTGGCAGAAGAAATTTCTAAGTAGCAAAGCATTCAAGAGATGACTTGGGTGCTGTTAAAGGCATTCAGTTTTATAAGGGAAGCAAAGCATAAAAGTTCAGAAAATTTGCAGACTGACAATGCGGTAGAAAAAAAAATCCCATTCTCTGAGGAGAAATTCAAGCTGGCTGCAGAAATTTGCATAAGTAACGATAAGTTGAATGTTAATCCCCAAGACAATGGGGAAAATATCTCCAGGGCATGTCAGAGGTCTTCATGGCAGCCCCTCCCATCACAGGCCCAGAAGCCTAGGAGGAAAAAGTGGTTTTGTGAGCCAGGCCTAGGGTCCTCCGTGCTGTGTGCAGCCCAGGGACTTGGTGCCTTGTATCCCAACTGCCCTAGCCACGGCTGAAAGGGACCAATGTAGAGCTTGGGCCGTGGCTTCAGAGGGTGCAAGCCTCAAGCCTTGGCAGCTTCCACATGGTGTTGAGCCTGTGAGTGCACATAAGTCAAGAACTGGGGTTTGGGAACCTCCTCCTAGATTTCAGAAGATGTATGGAAATGCCTGGATGCACAGACAGAAGTTTGCTGCAGGGGAGGGGCCCTCGTGGAGAACCTCTGCTAGGGCAGCGTGGAAGGGAAATGTGGGGTCAGAGCCTCCACAGAGAGTCCCTACTGGGGTATTGCCTAGTGGAGCTGTGAGAAGAGGGCCACCATCCTCCAGGCCCCAGAATGGTAGATCCACCAACAGCTTACACCAATCACCTGGAAAAGCTACTCAATGCCAGCCTGTGAAAGCAGCCAGGAGAGGGGCTATACCCTGCAAAGCCACAAGGGCAGAGCTGCTCAAGACTATGGGAACCTACCTCTTGCATCAGTGTGATCCGGATGTGAGATATGGAATCAAGAGAGATCATTTTGGAGCTTTTTTTTTTTTTTTTTTTTTGAGACGGAGTCTCGCTCTGTCGCCCAGGCTGGAGTGCAGTGGCTGGATCTCAGCTCACTGCAAGCTCCGCCTCCCGGGTTTACGCCATTCTCCTGCCTCAGCCTCCCGAGTAGCTGGGACTACAGGCACCCGTCACCTCGCCCAGCTAGTTTTTTGTATTTTTTAGTAGAGACGGGGTTTCACTGTGTTAGCCAGGATGGCCTCGATCTCTTGACCTCGTGATCCGCCCGTCTCGGCCTCCCAAAGTGCTGGGATTACAGGCTTGAGCCACCGCGCCCGGCCCATTTTGGAGCTTTAAGCTTTGACTGCCCTGCTGGATTTCAGACTTGCATGGGGCCTGTAGCCCCTTTGTTTTGGCCAATTTCTCCTATTTGGAATGGCTGTATTTACCCAATGCCTGTACCCCCATTGTATCTAGGAAGTAACTAACTTGTTTTTGATTTTAAGGCTCATAGGCAGAAGGGGCTTGTCTTGTCTTGGATGAAACTTTGGACTGTGGACTTTTGAGTTAATGCTGAAATGAGTTGAGACTTTGAGGGACTGTTGGGAAGGCATGATTGATTTTGAAATGCGAAGATACGAGATTTGGGAGGGACCAGGGGTGGAATGATATGGTTTGGTTCTGTGTCTCCATCCAAATCTCATCTTGTAGCTCCTATAATTTCCACATGTTGTGGGAGGAACCTGGTGAGAGATGATTGAATCACGGGGGCGGGTCTTTCCCATGTTGTTCTCATGATAGTGAATGGGTCTCACGAGATCTGATGGTTTTAAGAAACAGGAATTTCAGCTGGGTATGCTGGCTCCAGCCTATAATCCCAGCACTTTGGGAGGTCGAGGCAGGTGGATCACCTGAGGTCAGGAGTTTGAGACCAGCCTGGCCAATATGGTGAAACCCTGTCTCTACTAAAAATACAAAAATTAGCCAGGTGTGATGGCGCACACCAGCTACTTGGGAGGCTGAGGCAAGAGAATCACTTGAACCCGGGAGGCAGAGGTTGTAGTGAGCTGAGATTACACCACTGCACTCCAGCCTGCTGGGTGACAGAGTGAGACTATGTCTCAAAAAAAAAAAAAAAGAAATGGGAGTTTCTCTGTACAAGCTTTTTTTTTTGCCTGTCGCCATCCATGTAAGTTGTGACTTGCTTCTCCTTGCCTTCTGTCATGATTGTGAGACGTTCCCAGCCACATGGAACTGTAAGTCATTAATCCTCTTGCTTTTGTAAATTGCCCAGTCTCTGCTATGTCTTTATCAGCAGCATGAAAACAGACTAATACAAGGTCCAAGTGGCCCTGTGCCTTAACTTACTGGCAGGACTAGGATAAGAACTCTCCTCTTCCAGGTTTTATAGGAAGCAGGGCAGTGTGGGGTAGTGGTTAGGAGCAAAGAGGAGAGCCAGGCCATCTAGGTTTGAATCCTGACTCTTGTTACTTATCAGCTGTGTAACCTGGAGCAAGTTAATTTCTCTCTCTGTGCCCAGTTTCTCGATCATAAGATGTGGCTAGAGACAGCATCTACCTCAGAGGCCTGTTTTAAGGATTGGAATGGTTATTATTTCCAGGGCTCAGATATGGTAAGTATTTGCCCAAGACCACATAGGCAGGAAGAGGCAGATCCAGAAATGGAACCCAAATCTGCTGGATCCTGAAACCTGAGCTTTTCCTGCCCCCCACCCTAGCCGTGCGACCTCTCTTAGCCCACACAAGGAAATTTTTTCTGCTATTATCTGGGACATGGGGGTCTCCCCTGTTCAAGCCTGTGTGTGCTAGACACTTGTGAATCTTCTGTCTTCACACATGGGGAAATGGAGGCACAGTACGGTCACAGTGACATGTCACCCCAGGAAGGGGTACTGAGTAGCTGAGCCTGTGCCAGATGTCTTTTGTGTCAAGTTCTTGAGATGAAAGTAACCAAATAGTGTGCTCAAAAGCTGCTCCAATTACCCTCCGGGGGATCAGCTCGGGCCTAGGGCTCTGTCAAGGAGGCTGGGTTGACCAGTCAAAGTGCCCTTTTTCCTGGCTTCAGAGGCATCCTGAGCCAGCCGGCCATTGTGCAAAGGAAGTCCCTGAGGGAGGGAGCAGGAGAGCCGAGGTGAAGGAGAGCCAGGAAAAGTATCCTGCCCTCCCAGCTGAGACAGAGGGCCTGCCTGGCGCTCCCGTCCTGAACACACCTCCCACCAGCCTGTTCAGGTAGCTGGGATGCTGACGCACTGAATCCTTGAACAACCTTTCCTTAGGTCTGGCTGTCGCCTTCCTGCCCATCGGGGATGTATCAATAGATTTTAGCTGCACCTATTTTTGCCCCCAAAAGATGCTGATGGCCTGAGCTGTTCCTAATCTCATGCCAGGTCAGGGTGGTGTCCCTGTCTCAGACACTATGGTGGGTTACAGGTTCAGAGCTGGGATGAGAAGCAGCGGGTGGAGAGGGGGCGGCTGAGTCAGAAATGCACATGGAGAGCCACCATCTGCTGGGCCTTGGCCGAGGTTCCAGAGCTGTGGAGGGAGGGGCAGAGGAGGTGACCCAGGCTTAGAGCTCAGCTGTGAGCATCAGGAAGACACAGGACCCAGTAAGCGTGGCTGTGATTGTAGATCCTGGTTCCGCCGCTTGTCAGCTAGCTGAACTTTGGCAACATCTTTGAGCCTCAGCTTTCTCATCTGAAAATGGAGGAGAATCATACCTCCCTTTCAGGAGGGCTTTAAAAAAGGTATCAAGTCCTTAGATTAGCACCTGCAGCAGAGCGAGGGCTGGCTTCAGGGCAGCAAGCCAGACTTCTGGAACCAAACTCCTTGGGTTAAAAGCCTCACGGTGTCACTTACTGGTTGTGTCCCCTGGGGGGCAAGGTAGGAGTGTACTTAACCTCTCTGCTCCTCAGTTTCCTCATCTGTAAAATAGACATAGTAATGGTTAAATGCTTCATGCAATTGTTATAAGAATTTAAATGGCTTAATGCTTACAAAGCACTTCGAACAATGCTTGACACAAATCATGAGCGCTTGCTAAATACATAGCTGACATGCTTGTTCATCCTTATAAACCTATGCAGCTTTACCTGTTGAAATTCCTTCCCAGCATCTGATGAACAAATTCTCCTTGAAACTGTCATCCCTCCCTCTTCTAAGGATGAGACCTTAAATTTTGTTCTTCATGTGACGCTAACTGTATGGCATCCCCTCACCTTTGTGTTTCCTTTTCCTCCAAATGTCAGCTGGGGCTTCCTGAGTATGTAGAACTCCAAACACTCATCCCATGTACTCTGATCTTCAGGCACTCATTCATTCATGTATTCACTCATTCATTCATCAAACACGAATGGGCATCTCTCATGTCCTTGCAATAGGGACTGGAGGCACAGGAAGAAAAGCCAAGTGTTCTCTGCCTTCAAGGAACTCACAAATGGAGAGATGGAAACTAAAAAGTAAGAAAATATATCATTAAAATGGACTTTAATAAGTTATATAATAAGGGGGAAATACCCTAGGTCCCATGGGAACACAAAAGCAGGGCCCTAACCTAGGCTAGGGAGTTGGGAAGAGTCCTCTGGAAGAGGACATCCCCTGAGGGGCATCCTGTCCCAGCCAGGGCAGCATTCTTTCTCTCTCTTTTTTTTTTTTCTTTTTTGAGACAGAGTCTCACTCTGTCGCCTAGGCTGGAGTGCAACCTCTGCCTCCTGGGTTTGAGTGATTCTTGTGCCTCAGCCTTCCAAGTAACTGGGATTACAGGCATGTGCCACTGTGGCTGGCTAATTTTTGGATTTTTAGTAGAGACGGGGTTTCACCATGTTGACCAGGCTGGTCTTGAACTCCTGACCTCAAGTGATCCAACTGCCTTGGCCTACCAAAGTGCTGGGATTATAGGCACGAGCCACCGAGCAGGGCAGCTTTCTTATTGAGCATGGTCAGACGCTGCCAGCCTGTCTGCTGCTGCCCAGCCTCGCCAAGGTGCTGGCCAGGTCTGGCTGTAGCCCCACTGCTCATCGTCTTTCTCACCCTCTTCACACTTGGCTGCCCCTCAGTTTCTCATCCCTACCTGTTCCCTCCCACCCCCAAGCCTTCCCTGTGCCATCCCCTCTGTCTGCAGTGTTCTTCCTTCCCCTCTGTGGCTCGCAGTTAATGACCTGTTCTTTTAGATCTTGATGCAATTGTGACTTCCTCCAGGGAGCCTTCCCTGACTACCCTGACTAGGTCAAATCCCCCACTACAGATGCTCCTAGAACTTTGTGCTCCTATCTTGTAGTTCTGACATACACATCATGAGATTATCTAATTCTCACCTCTCCTATGGATCAAAAACAAGATTAAAAAATCACAGAATTAATAAATAACAAATGAAAAGCTAGGACCATGTGCATGTTAATTCTGAGATACTATGGAAATTTCTGCTTCCCTTTAAAGTCATTTAGAATAATCATTTATTTATAACTATCATTTATCATATATAATAAATTATATATGGGTTCATTTGTTTCTTTATTCAATCATTCCACAAATGTTAATTAAGCATCTGCTTTGGGTCAGGTGCAGTTCCCAGCACTAGGAGGAGAAAACAGTGAAAGATGTGATCTCCACCCTCTTGAGCTTACATTTGGGTAGAGAAGACAGAATAAAGAGACAAATACCATTTTGGACATAGGCCCTGGCAAAGATTTCATGCAAAGCAATTGCAACAATCACGAATTGACAAATGGGACCTAATTAAACTAAAGAGCTTCTACACAGCAAAAGAAGCTCTCAACAGAGTAAACAGACAATCTACAGAATGGGAGAAAATATTTGCAAACTCTGCATCTGACAAAGGTCTAATATCCAGAATCTATAAGGAACTTAAACAAATTAACAAACAAGAAAACCAAACAACTCCATGAAAAAGTGGGCAAAAGACATGAAGAGACACTTCTCAAAAGACGACATCCATGTGACCAACAAGCATAAGAAAAAATGCTCAACATCACTAATCATAAGAGAAATACAAATCAAAACCACACTGAGATACCATCACATACCAGTCAGAATGGCTATTACTAAAAAGTCAAAAAATAAGGCCGGGCGCAGTGGCTCACACTTGTAATCCCAGCACTTTGGGAGGCCAAGGCAGGTGAATCACCTGAGGTCAGGAATTCAAGACCAGCCTGGCCAATATGGTGAAACCCTGTCTCTACTAGAAATACAAAATTAGCCGGGCATGGTGGTGGGTGCCTGTAATTCCAGCTACTCAGGAGGCTGAGGCAGGAGAATCGCTTGAACCCGGGAGGTAGAGGTTGCAGTGAGCAGAGATCGCGCCATTGCACTCCAGCCTGGGCAAGAAGAGCGAAACTCCATCTCAAAAAAAAAAAAAAAAAAAAAAAAAAAAGTCAAAAAATCACATATGCTGCAAGGCTGCGGGAAAAGGAATGCTTACACACTGCTGATGGAAATGCAAATTAGTTTAGTCACTGTGGAAAATAGTCTGAAGATTTCTCAAAGAACTTGAAACAGAACTACCATTTGACCTACCAATCCCATTACCGGGTTATATACCAAAAGGCACATAAATTGTTCTACCCTAAAGAGACATGCATATGTATGTTCATTACAGCACTATTCCCAGTAGAAAAGACATGGAATCAACCTAAATGCTCATTTACGGTGGAGTGGATAAAGAAAATGTGGTACATATACACCATAGGATACTATACAGCCATGAAAAAGAATGAGATCATGTCCTTTTAGCAACATGGATGAAGCTGGAGGCCATTACCCTGAGTGAATTAATGCAGGAATAAAAAACAAATACAGCATCTCCTCGTTTATAAGTGGGAGCTAAATACTGAGTACACATGGACATAAAGATGGGAACAATAGACACTGGGGCCTACTTGAGGGTGGAGGGTAGGAGGAGTGTCAGGATTGAAAAATTACCTATAAGGTACTATGCTTATTAGCTGGGTGACAAAATAATCTGTACACCAAGCTCAGACACTCAATTTACCTATATACGAAACCTGCACATATACTCTTAAACAGTTTGAAAAGTTAGAAAGAAAAGAAAAAAGAAACAAACACCAGGGCATGGTAGCTCATGCCTGTAATCCCAGCAGCTTGGGAGGCTGAAGTGGGTGGATGGCTTGAGGCCAGGATTTGGGAGTTAGAGATCGTCTTGGGCAACAAAGTGAGACTCTATCTCTGCAAAAAATGTTTTAAAAATTTAGCCAGGTGTGGTGGCATGTGCCTGTGGTCCCAGCTACTTGGGAGGCTGAGGCAGGAGGATCATTTGAGCCCAGGAGTTTGGAGGTTGCAGTGAGCTAGGATGGCACCACTGCACTCCTGGCTGGGCAACAGAGAGAGACCTTGTCTCTAAAACCAAACAAAACAAACAAATGCCTAAAGAAGGAAACCACAGACTTTGGAAAGCAGCCGGTTGTCACGGCCCCCCAGCTACAGGACTTTATTTCAAAAGTCCCACTAGGGGCTCACTAGGAGCTCTCAATGAGGATGACATTGGCTCTAGAAAAACAGGAAATCTCTTTGGAAAAGTCCAGCCAGTGGACTGGGCTCTAGCCTCTGTGAAGTGACTCCCCTGCTGTAGGCTGTTGTCTCTTATTGGTAACCAGATGCTCCTGGAGCAGCCGGCTGGCTGGCCTCTGAGGTGACAGAACACCTGAGGCCCCAGCTGGTGGGGGATGAGGGCAGGGCTGCTCTCAGGTGCCAGGTGTCCTTCTTAGCTGGTCAGAGTGCTGCTGTTGGCTAAGGATCCCTGTGGCCTGACATTCCCCTGCTTCAGCAGCCAGGAGCGGGAAATGAAGGTGGAGCTAGCCAATCTGTTGTGACAGGGAGTGCTGCAGCCCTTGAAACCTGAGGAGAGCGGAGCCTTTGCCTTGCTCACCCGTCCCAGGGTGAACTTTCAGCTTTGGATCTTTGCTGTACTGAATGGGGGACCCATTAGAGCGGATACAGGGTAACAGGGAAAGGCTGAGACTGCCCTGTGGAAGATGGATTTGTGGAGTGGAGCTGGAGTGGTGGGTGAGGAGCCTCCTCCTCAGATTTGATGAATTGGTGTGTGGTACACTGTCCTTTATGGCCTCATAATAACCCCTGCCAACTCTCTGGTTCGTTCAACAAATGTTTATTGAGCTCCTACTATGTGCCAGACCCACAGCGTGCCGCGTGCTCGGGATACCACAGAGAAGATGTGGTCCCCAGCATCCCCAGTGGGTAACAGTTATCCCCATTTGGGTAACATATTGTTCTTTCTAAGCATTTGTCAGGATCTCCATTGATATTAGTCAAAAGCCTGTGAATCCCATAGAGCATTACTGTTGTTCCCATTTGAAGGATGGGAGAGGGGAGGCAGAGAGAGGATTTGCTTAAGGGAAGCTAGGTAGAACCAGGTCCTGTCTAGTGTTTTCACTGACCTCCTACCAAGGGGAGTCAGGGAACTGATACTTTATACGCTATTTTTTTCCTTACTTTTGTTTGTTTTTTTGTTTGTTTGGTTTGAGGCAGGGTCTTGCTCTGTCACCCAGGCTAGAGTGCAGTGGCCTGATCTCGGCTCACTGCAGCCTCGATCTCCTGGGCTCAAGCCTCTCACCTCAGCCTCCTATGTAGCCGGGACTACCAAAGTGCACCACCTTGCCTGGCTAATTTTTTTTTTTTTTTTGAGATGGAGTCTTGCTCTTGTCACCCAGGCTGGAGTGCAATGGCACGATCTCGGCTCACTGAAACCTCCTCCTGCTGCGTTCAAGTGATTCTCCTGCCTCAGTTTCTTGAGTAGCTGGGATTGCAGGCGCCTGCCACCGTGCCAGGCTAATTTTTTTGTATTTTTAGTAGAGACGGGGTTTCGCCATTTTGGCCAGGCTGGTCTCGAACTCCTGACCTCATGATTCGCCTGCCTCAGCCTCCCAAAGTGCTGGGATTACAGGCATGAGCCACTGCACCTGGCCTATACTATTGGTTTTTAATGATTCACCCTAATCATTAGAGTCTAATAGTAAAATCTGATGAATTAGGGAAGGCTTCATGGAACTTCTGAGCTTGTTTTCTCTATTCACTATTTCATTTTTGGCACCTTCTTGTTGAATGAAACCGACGCCCTTCACAGGCAAGAGGATAGATTAGAGACCTATTTAAAGTTCTTGCTTTCACCATGCATGTCACACCCTGATACCCATCTTGAAAAGCCCTGCTTAGAAGGTCTTACTGGCTGGATGCAAACAGCTTCATTTGAAGCTGAAAGGGCTCCCTGGTTACACATAAGCTTCTTGAGGGTCAGAGACAACGCTTGGGCTTCTGTGCCTCCCAGTACCAAAGAGCACACACGCTGTTCTTCACATAGGCGCTCAATAAACCCTAATTGATTCGTTGATTGGGAACAACAATTATATAGTTGAAGTGCCTGGAAAGACAATCTCCCAGGGCTGCCAGCCAGCTGGGGGCTCAAGGGACAGGTGATTTCAAATCAATGTGCTTGCTCATCCCCAAGGCAAAGTTTAAAACGGATGACTGAAGCATTCTTTTAGAACAGTGCAAAATTGCAAACATGCAAATAGCCAGCAATAGGGGGATAGCTAAGCTAACTGGGTTATATTAAGATTCTGGAAGACTCTACAGTTATTTTAAAAAGCAAATATGTTGTCTATTTTAATACAGAGAAATGCGTATCAGGTACCAAAATGGG